GACAAAATTCTTTTTGCTAACTATTTGTAGGGTTTTTGTGTAGCTGATTTATTAAGAAGTTATCCCACCTATACCACACCAAGAAGTTAAAAATTCATTTACTTTGAGTCTGAGCTGGACAGACAGGAGTGAAAATCTTTTAAAAATTGAAAACATTTCAAATTCAGCCATCTTGTCATTTGGGATTTTCTTCTTGAAATTTCCCATGATTTTGATATGATTTATTATGACATAAACTCCCTTGTAGATATAGATTTAGTGCAAAAATTTGCTTCAAAAAGCTTTAAAAAAGACTGAGTTCTGAGTTTCATTAACTCATTCATTTTTTATATTACTCATTCTCTCCTGTACTGGGTTTGTCTATGGCTTATGCATACAGGAGCACACAAACAATACTTCCATTGTATTCATTCTTTTCATTACTGTTCATGTTTTTATTACTGTTCCTGTTTGTCTCTCACACTTTGTTGGTAATGAGATCAAGCTGGATTTCTACTAAGACTGTGACAGTTGTGCTGTCAGCTTTTAATCAGTCAAGTCCCCATGAAACCTCCTTGAAGTGCTTTTGTGACTTAGTAGGTCTTTTGTAGTGTCCCTTTCTATATAAAATGTTTTGATCAAATTCCTTCTGGTGTTCCATCAAGCTGTAACATGCATCCAGTCAGTGTTCAGAAGTATGGAGGACCACATTCCTTGCAGCTGACACACAACCTGTGTTTGTCTGACAGCTCAAGAAATTGCCATTCAGGAACTGGAATAGAAATCTTAGTCAAACAGACAGGAGTGTTGGAGCTGCTGTGAATTTCACTCACTCCTTAGCAAGCTTGAAATGTTGTGACAAATGATAAGTATGTTTAGAATGATTGAAAAAATGTGTCTGCATATAAAGATATTTCTTTATTAAGGATGTTTTCTTGATCTGACTGTCTTTATCAGTCCCCATGTCAACTCCCTTCAAGTCTTGTCCCTCCACTTGTGCCTGAACTAGGCTACCCTCAGGCTACACACACGAGGAGTCTATAAAGCACAGAAAAATAAGGTCTTTAAGGACCATAAGGTCAAAAAAAAACTGTTTAAGAAAAAACATTTGACAAATTGACTTGTAATTCACTGGATTTCTGGGGCATTATTGTTTGCAGCATATTCTATCTTTCACTCCCTTGCCAATGGCTGGCATGCAAGTCCAAATCACTGAAGTCCTTTCTAACTCTTGAGTGGTGAAGAATATCTGTTTCTGCTTGGATAACTCAATATGTTCTCTAAGGGAGCAGATATCTAGGGTTAAAGATAACATTAAGATTCATAAAATTAAAATTAGTACAATTGTTTAAACTAGCTATCGAATCATTAGACAGACAAAGTGATTAAAAGATCTGGAGAAGGATTTAGACTATACAGAACTGGTGGACCAGGTTTGGTATGCAATTAAATACATATTTAGAGAATCCCTGAAGACACAATGGAGAAGAACACAGAGGATTTAACCCTAGACTTGTCCCTTTTAAAATACCAAGTGGTATCAAAGACAGACATAGGTGGATAGAAAATGGCATTCAAAGAACATGGACTTAAGAAGATCTATTTTGTGTGCTTACAATCTCAAGAGGTCATCATAAGAGGTTGGTTTCCTCAAAAATAGGGAAGTAAAACAAAGAACTCTCCACAGGAGAGAAACAATGTCCAATTTAATCTGGACAGAAAAACATTTTTCAGCAAGAATTGTTTCATTCTGTTTATGTAGCAAGACATGAAACTACTGAGCTGGCTGCAAGGCTGACTGTAGTGCAGTGTCATAGCAACAGATGCTGGCCTCAAGGGCATGACAAAGTTGGTAGCCTCTGAAGGCATCAGAGGTCCTCCTTGCATATTCAGCTGTCAAAAGCTGAGATGGGGCATCTGGGAACCTTGTTACATGCAGATCTCTGGGGACTACAAGGTCAACATGGCTAACAGCGACTGAAGTGCCTGTAAACATAAGGTGTGTGATTCCTGGAATCCCTGACCTGCCCCTAACCTCTGTGCATGCTCAGAGCAAGGCTCCCCTACAGGCACATTCAGGGAAGGGCAATGGAGGAATGCACAGTGCAGTCTCACCAGGAGTCTTTCTTATGAAAGGCACCTTCCAAGGGTGCCTCCATTAGCAATGTGAAGATTGAAAATGCCTTCATACCCTCATGTTCTTGAAGCCCTAAAGTATTACAAAGTAGAACGTGGTGAGAGGAAATCTTAATGGATCCTTGGCTGTGAACCTTGAAAGTGAACCTTGACTTATTAATTTGAATTTTTAACACCACATCTCCTAAATCCTCTGGCATTTACATACTATCACTGAAAGATCATAATGGAACACAACTCAGGAATACCCCGAAGCACAATCCACAAACATTATTTTCTGTGAAATTAGAAGCATACTTAAGTAGCAGGGGCAAAAGCATTCCAGGGAGATACTTATAATGTAATCAAATTTACCACCTTTAACTACTCTGGCATGAATTCCAGAAGCTATTATGCTCATTAAGAATCAGACCAGGAGGAAATTTCTTTGTATACAATTTAAAAGCAGCTTGAGAATCAAAACCAAAATGTAAGTATTGTCCCTTTTGTTCCTTATGGGCAACAAGCTATACCATATAATTGCCCCATATCATTATGTGTGGTGAGTAGGCTGTAAAACACAAAGCCCAGGCCTAGGTTTACAATGAAATTGGAAAGAGTTCATTATTACTTTTTTTCAAATCCAAAGAGTAGAGGCAGTATGAAATAAATCACCAAAACACACCTGTCTGTGCTTGAACACCTCCGTTTTCTCTCAGAATAAACATAAACACAGTTTAGATCTAACAAAAGAAAGGCATCACAACCAGCAGCATTAAATAATTTTAAAAATTATCAAATAAATGTGGAAGTCTATTACATAATCTTTACTTTTCACAGAGAGTTTTGTATTTGTTCGGTTTTAGAATATATCCAAAATCTGACTCACTTTTAGATAATCAAAGCATACTGAATTTCCCATTGTAGATCTTTGACTCCTGTTTCTAAAAGATCTATACATTTAATTCTCAAAAAAATGTGTAGCACCTATTTATTTCTGATATATATATGTGTGTAGCTGTCAAAATCTTAATTTCACTGAACTCCTTAGTTCTCAAAGAAACATAGTTTATCAAAACACACTTCCAGAATACATCTTCATTCAAAAGGCAGTTGAAGAACGGAATTTTCCAATTAGGAAAAAAATGAGACACTAATTTTTTTATGGCACTGCAAGTCAAGAAATTTATTTCAAAGTTAGGAACCTGGCTTTCTAATGTCCAATTTATATGATTCAGTATGCTCTAATGCCAGATCACGGACTAACAAGCCACACAGTTCTCTGAAACAAATTGCAGGTTTTCTTTGTGAAGCCACTACAACATCTATAAAAATTATTAATTTGGAACATATCTGGGATGTCTGCCTAAAAAATGATGAAGGAAAGACAGGTTCAAATGAACCATTCAGATGATATTTAATTACAAAAACTTCCGTACAATTAACTGGCTTTGGTTTTGAGAGCTGCCAAGAGCTGACTGTGAGCCAGCGGTGCACCTTGGAAGCAAAGGAGGCCAACAGCATCCTGGGCTGTGTGAGGAAAAGTATTGCCAGCAGATCCAGAGGAGATCCTTCCTTTCTGCTCTGCACTGGTGAGGCTACATATGGAGTGCTGGGATCAGTTCCAGGCTTCCCAGTACAGGAGAAACAGAGATCCTGGAGAGAGTCCAGAGAAGGGCCACTAAGGTGATTAAAGGTCTGGAGCATCTCTCTTCTGAGTAAAAACTGAGAGACTTGGGACTTTTTAGTCAGGTGAAGAGAAGACTCTGGGTCTTAATTAATGTGTATAAATGCCTGAAGTGGGGGTGAAAAGAGGGCAAAGCCAGACTCCTCTCAGTGGTGTCCAGAGAAAGAGGCAAAGGGCTCAAGAAAAAATACAGGAAATTCTATTTAAATGTAACAAAACAGAACAAAACAAAAAAACAAAAAAAAACCCAAAAACAAAAAAATAAAACCTCAGAAAACTAGTTTTTACTTTCAGGATGTCAAATACTGGCCCAAGGCACCCATGGAGGCTTTGTTCTTGCAGATGTCAGTAAATTGGCATAGCCCTTAGCAGCCTGTTCTGGCTGACCCCTCCTTGGGCAGGGATTTGGAGTAGACAAGTCTCTGAAGATCCCTGACATCCTCAGCCATTCTGCAGATCTCTGAAATTAAATCTAAATCACAGAAGCCAGACTTTTAACTAAGAGAGCATCAGGATACGAAGATATTTTGAATGATATTATACATTTCTTTTAGTGAATTATAGCTTTTAAAGTTAAGTAGGGAAAATGGGAATGTGAGTGTGTAGCTTAGATAGAGTTTTCTTAAGTCACTGGGTGAGAAAGTAAGAGTTTAAGATATTTTAGAAAGTAAGAGACAAGATGGAGGACTTAGGGCATTTTCCCTTTCTTCTTCTTCTTTATCTTCTTCTTCTAAGGGTTTTTGTGTAATAATGGGTGATTGGATAGAGAATGGTGCAGTGCAGCACACAGGTGTCTGGTCACTGGTCACAAGAAAAATAACTTACTTGGCATTTGTTAATTGGACAAATAGACATATAAAAGACCTTGAAGAGTTCTTCATTAGCCATTTTGCACCTTTCTATCTTAGTTTATGTAGCTTGTACTCTGTATATATGTGATACAGATAAGGAAAGAACAACCAAGTCTGAACACAAGAAAATAACCTCTCTCTCATCAGTCTCAGTCCTGGGGAGAAGAACCCATCCACCAGTGTCACATCTCAACAAGTATAATTCCAATGTTATTGCATGTTAGCTCTGTCTAGGGCAATACCCTCTTCAGCCTTGAAGCTGAAAACACATATCACATTAATCCCATATGACCCAACAGGTTGGGTTGTGATCATGTGACTATACATCATAATGGGATCTATAACAATAAATAAGAAGTTTCACACATCAGAGTGGAAACAGAAAGTTAACTGCTTGTAATTAGGATAATTTACCTCTGGTTCTTGGAAGATAAATACCTTTTCCCTTACTAAGTTTTACACTGAATTTAGCAATACTATAAAACATATTGAGGGAAATCTGTATCTAAAGTATGCTGTAAGAAAATTAACATGTCCTTAGTATCTTCCATGCTATATAAAACTTAAAATATCAGTTTTTTAAAACATCAGTTGAAGTGCTACAGCAAGAAGCACCAGATTAATTTTGATCTGAAAAAAACTCATATTAATAATACATTTGTAGACCTCATCAGTTTTCTTGTGCTGATGACCTTCTCTTAAATAAGGGCTCAGAGACAACAGTGAAGCCAGCAGTCTGATGAACATTCCCCCTCTCCTGCCAATGGGGTTTACAGTTGTCTCATGTGGACTCTGATACTACTGGGGATTCCTATATGATATCATTTCCTTTGTGATAACATTAGGCCAGGCATTTGGTAGTGGAGTGTAAAAACCACACAGTCTCTTCTGGATTTTCAGACACCCACTGCCAGTGCAGTTGCCAAGAATTGTTTCTTGCAGACTAGTACTAGTGAATGCTGCCTGAAGATTGGAACCTTTGCCCAGCACTGCTATCCTGAGATGAGCCAGCCAGGTAAAGGCTATTCCCCCTGTAGAGCTGAGGCTGCTGTGGGGGCAGCACTCTTGACCAGATGTGTTCAAAGGTGCCATTGAGGGATAGTCTTATGAAGTCCACCGGTTCAAGCAAGAGGTCAAAGTAAAGCAATATTCATACAAGAGAAAGAAAAAAATATATATTCCTTGAACGATACAGGACTAGAGAATAAAAAAAAAATTAAAGTGCAATATTTTTTATTCATAGCTTATGCTCTCTTTCTTCAGTTGAGTAAATGTTGAAGTTCAGTGTAGTGTTGTCTGATAGTGCCACATATCTGAGTTCTGTGTCATCACAAACATTATGTCAGAAGAGCTGATTTACTGCCAGAACACATATCTGGTGAATGCCAAGAGATAATTTCACATTTACTTACTGTTATATAAAAGTCTCTTCCAAAATACTATTCCAAACATAACATTTTATTAGGAAACTATTTACCTAAACTTTATTTTATGAAGTAACAGGATAGAGCTAATGAATAATGTGGTTTATCCAAGAAATATATTTTGAGGTCTGATTTTCTTATTTACATGGTCAGAAATTCTTGATTACTAAACAACTAGAATGATATATCAGAACAGTGTGTGAGGAGGTTAATTGCACTAAGACCACATCATAGCTTAAAAAAGTGACATATTATATTGCCTTATGCTCAAGTCTTTTGTATATTATATATATATATATATAGCATATTAATTTTGTATATAAATTGTATATATATTTTGTATATTAATCCTTTTTTAAGGATTTAAGAGCTGAAATAGCATCATTGCATATCATGCAACCACATACAGAGAAAAAAAAAAATCTAATGCTGAGATGTAGTGCTGGCAAAACTGTCAAGGGGTAACTTTTGGGTATCAAAACCAAATTATTCTAATGTCAAAATATTTTGTGCATCTCAAACTGTCACATCTGTTTAAGAAACAGTAGTTCCTACAATAGTTTCTTGTGTCAGTGCATAAGATACAGGGAATATTTTATGCAGCAAAGTAGGGAACTACCTTTTCAGTAATGTCTGTCTGCATAGCACAGCCATTCCATGTTTTATTTCAAAGAGGTTTTATACTTATATTTACTATTATTATTATTATTATTATTACTACTTTTACATTCTACTATTCTGGCTCTGTAGAAGAGTTGACACACAGCAGAGAGCTTGGTGGGGCTGTGACACAAACTTTTACAAAAAAATCACCCTTTACTCAAACACATTAAATGGACAGAGTTGAATAAATAAGAGCTTCCAGCCCCCTGCTGTTCAGACCAGGCTGTGCTGATGTCTTCCTAGGAGCAAGACAATCCCCTCCTGCTGCTCAAAAAACTTTGTTGCCCAGCAGAATGTGGAGAATTTCCTTGTACAGAAGAAAGTGCTACAGAAAATGTGTTTAGGAAATGTTAAAATGGGGGTGGTTGATTTTCTCTCACCTGCAAATAACCAGGGATATTCCACTGGTGGTTGGTTAATATAGAATTTGTTAGCTACTTTTCAGGTAGTAACTTTTCTGAAGAGTAACACTTGACTTCAAAATTTATGATAGTCACTTTCTTGTTCTGTTAGTTTGTGATAAGACCCAAGTCCATGTTCTTTCTCTATAATCTATTTTGTGTAATTTGCACATGAAAGAGCTGTAAAGTGCCCCATATCTTTTAGGCAGGAAGAATGTGCAATGCAAGTGTATGATATATTTAATTACTTTTTAAAGAGGCAGAGTTTCTTAAATAACTGTAAGTGCCCTGTCCTGTATCTTTGGACTTCTTGAATTCCCAGGCAGTTCAGTCTAACTTTAAAGAGAAAATAAAATAAATCATAATCATAGAAAAAATCCCATCTACTAATTACAAAACTGAATCTCTGCTGGTCTTCAACCAGTTTTGACTTAATGTCTTAATTTAATTCACCATTTCTTTAGAAAAAGATAACATTCAAACATTATCTTTCTCAATAACACCTAATAAATCTTAATATTCATCATTCAGATACATAAGGACATTACAAATCCTATCTCCCATGGAGATGCAGTCATTGCTGTGACATTCCTCAGTAACCTGTAGTCCTGCTGCATAAGAAGGAATTCCTCATTTAAACCAAAACATGAGGCAGCTGAATACAAATGAAAGTCAGGGGTGACCAATGTCTGTCTAAACCTGAGCAGCAAAGAAGGAAAATAATCCCCTAGACTAAATCCTCTCACGTTTGACACAGCTGGCTCAATGGAATAATTTACAACATGAATTCACAGACAACTCTGTAAGTACAGTGAACAAGTGGCACAGAAAAGGATACCAGGAATTTTCTAATTGTCTCTGTCACTGGAGATGGCATTTTCTGCTATGATGGCCAGGCTGTGCTCACCTTTGTCAGTGTTTAACAACCTTTGCCACCCTCAAACTGGAGAGTTTGGTACACACACCAGGTATGTGTATTCTCTGATGGTAGGGAGCTATAATCTTATGTCCCATTTAAATCTGGTTAAAATTAAACATTTCCAATCTCTCTCTGTCAGGACATTGCATAAGTGTGATATAAAGTCTACATCTATAATAGAAAATAATATTGTCTTTGGAATACCTTCTAGTCCTTCAGCAAAACAAGTGCATCATCCCTCCTCATAAATAAATTCCCTTGGTTGCTAACTCAGCACAAAGGGATGTACTGTGGCCAATGGTAATTCCCTGGGAATTGCCCAGGGGGTGAATGCTAACTTAGGCAAAACCCATACCAGGGACTGAGCAAACAATTTATCAGCTAGGACCTTTATAAAGAATGTTTGAGCCTATGCTTTCAGCGTATATTTCAAAATTGTAGATGCTGGTGTCTTGGTTGGATCTCCCATCTCAGGGTGAAGTTCTCTTACTGCCAGTATTTCTCCTACTGCAGTAATTCCTATTGCTCATGCTCTATTCAGCTCTAGATCAGCAAAGATTCCTGGGACAGAGATAAAGCTCACCACAAACCTCCATTTCACTGCTCTGCCTTCCTTGTCTCTCCATAAATCGCCCCAGCAGAGCACAGGAAAACAAATGGTTTCAAGAACCTGGAGGGGGATTCCATTTCTGGTTTGTGGTCAGGGGAAGAAAAGGGAGTTCTAGGACTATTGGCAAGGTAGAGGGGAGAAGATACAGGAGCCAACTGCAGAAGGTGGATGGTATTCACTGGGCAAGGGAACTTCATGGGCCTTCTGCCTAAAAAATTAGCAGAAGCAGATGATGGATGCTATTTTCGTTACATTTCTCTACAAATCTCTGAGTCCCAAAACAGCAGAATTCCTCTTTTTCGAAAGGAAGGGAGAAAGTGGAAGGGAGAAGGGCTGGGGGCATGGGGGATGAGGAGAGGTGTAAAACTTTCCTTGTAAAAAATAATTTTAAAATTTTTGTAAAAATTTTTTCTTGTAAGAAAGGTGATTCTTTATTAGATATATATGTTTTCTGCATGCTCATCCAACTCACAGTGCATTGCTTCAACGTTGTCTTTGCTCTGTGTAGTTCAGTTTAGGTGGATATGAAATTTAGGTGAGTTGCAAATTTAGACAAATTTTAAAAATAAATAAAAACATTTTTACACAGCACAATAAAGAAGTAATTTCTCAATCTTTCATCAAGTTTTGCAGATTTTATCCAACTTAGAAGGCATTTATAAGGATCATGAATCACATTTTTTCCCCCCAGAAAATCAACTCCCATAATTTTTAGTTCTTTTTTTTCCAAATGAAGGTGCTAGGCTTTCTTTAAAAATGCTTTCAATAGTTTTTATAATAAATTAAAACAATATTTCTGCATGTTCTATTGTTAGGAAATGGAAGAGTTGATTTTGTTCAAACAAGCAAGCAGGAAATCAACCTTTTGCAGTTGTTTGGTGAGTAAATTTTTACCCCCTGTGATTGTGCTCTGTCAAAATTACAGGGAGCAACAGTTTGAAATTCACACAGGATTTGTTTAGCCTCTGGCAAAAACTACTACCAGAAAAAAAAAATATTACTCTTTCATCTCTGTAACACTATGAACTAAATTTTAAGCAAAATCTTAGACTTAAAGAAATGGATTTAGGGGATGTGAAATGCACTTTCAAGCCTCTCATTTTTCAGAAGAGGAGCTAAATGGTAGAATAGATACATTAAGACTTCAGGATTTTTACATAGGTAACTATAACAATACTAAGTGCTTCCCAAAGATTTTTTTGTATTTTTGAAATGTCATACAAATAATATGCAAGACATATTAACATTTTCTGGAATATGGCAAGCCATGGAAACTGAAACATATTTCCTTTTTACAGAAGTAGAGAGAGCCTTCAGCGAGGAAAGGAAAATCAGATGATTTTGGAAAATATGGACAATTTTCAACTGACTAGAAGCCCGGGGTCTCTGAAGTTCTGAATCTGAAATAGTATAACATTTTTGTGAAAAAATAACTTGCAAATATTTTTGGAGGCTGAACTTTGTCACTTACTGTTAATGAAGATGATCTTAGGGGATATATCAACAACCTTGCTGAAGAACCCAAAAATTCAGATCAATGGACTAAATATGTACACTTTCACTAAGAGAATCCCACAATTATAACATATGCCACAAATTCACAATTATTTTTTGCAGTCTAGTAAGGTACAATTAACACTAATCAGAGTCTGAAGACGGGGAATAAATAGAAAATTTCAAATGTGAACAGTAACATCCAGAAGGCTGTCAATCAGTAATTGGGAATGACACTATCACTGTCTGTTTATTCATAAAATGAACATAATATTGTTCAAAATTGGTTTGTATGGGCTTCATGATGTTTGCATGGACCACTGTTTGATGTTTGGTTAATACTTTGATAAGTATGGTCTCCTGGGCAATTAAGAGTCACATACAACAACTGGACTTCTGGGTGAACAACTATCTGAAAAGTGCAGTATAGAAATGGTGTGGAATTCAGATGAAACTGGACACACTAACTTCAAGGAAATTAAAAATGTGAGTTAAAACTGTTGAAGTGCCACCATGAAAAGATGGATATTACAGAACAGGGATATGAAGTTATTAATGTATACAAGGAGAGGAGATAGTAATGAAAGAGGAGAAATGAAGAAAATGAAGGCAGATACGTGCAAAATTAGATCATTTCATTTGGAAAAAAAATGAAACTAAATATAACAGAAAAGTCTTCTGGGATTTATGTCTTAAACAAGTATGAAGTGTCATCCAATTAATCTAATGATACTGCACAATTTGCCGGTGTAAACATCAGTGCACATTCTGACAGCAGAAATCATGACTGACTGCTCAAGGACAGCAAACACAACACAAAGCCTATCTTCTTTCCAGCTTACAAATTTACAAGATGCTGAGCATGAAAGGTGAGAAGATAAATGAAAGACAACATCTTTTAATATGCAACATGTTTCCCACTGCCAAAGTAGGAGAGTAGAGTGATTTGATTAAAAAAAAATAGAGGAAAAACAACAAATTCAAGATGCAGTAAAGTAAGCATAACAGCAGTGCTGGTTTGTAACAGCATTTGTGCCATCATTTATCACTCAAAATATATTTGTACACCTCTGCTGCATCATTGCACCTCAGTTCAGTTGCTGCAATGTATTCATAATCACAGAGGGTGTGCTGAGGGGAAGAGTGGAAAATTTAAACCAGAATGATAATCTGAAAAAGCATCTTTTGTTTCTATTAAGTAGACAGTGGGAAAAAAATAAACAATATATAGAGAGAATAAGAAATAAGGACAATAGTAATCTTCTTATAAGTACTGTATCAGGGGCAAGCCACAACCCTGACTGGCTTTTCAACATAAGGACAACAGAAGACATAAGGAATTTTATGTCACCCTAAAACATCAGAAAAGAATTTCAGTCATTTTGTATCAAACCCTATGGAGTAGCTAACCTGAACTTCACACAATAAAGCAGCCAGAAGTCCCACATACGAAAAAAATATGTCCCCTGTTGTCCCTGACACCTAATTCTCACACACACTGATTCATCATGTGATCCTGAATACAGAACCAAGTGAAGCTATTTTCACTATTCTCAAACATAATTTATCACAGATTAAATCCATCTGATCTTTCCTTTTTCTTCATCTGTCCTCTCAAGGCTCTGTAGAGGTAACAGCTTGGATTTTGATTACATAGTACTGTTTCATTCATTAGATAATACTGTTTTATTCAATGTTGTTCTTTATTAGTATTGTGCTCATATGAGTACAAAAATTAAAAATCCACTTTCAGAAAATTACATCTTTTGACTCAGGTAGCTCCTCCCACCTTCACAATCTCTCAAAATAAATAAGAATAAGCTTACGCTTATTTCTCTTTGAAACACAGTTTGGCAATTTTGATTCCTACAAATAAAATTTACCAACAGAGCCCTTAATAGAAAGCAATAATTAGCAACTAGAGTTTAAGGAGAAATAAAAAAGAAAACAAAATAAAAAAGCAGAGTTTGAACTTCAAACAAAGGCATAGGTGAGGAACACACTGCCTTTGGAAGTACGTCCATGGTGTTACAAGAGGCTGAGCTAAATGGTTCAAAGTTATTTTTAAGTGAGTGAAGTTATGTCAGAAGAAATCCTGCCTCTAATAACTTGATTACAAAGCATAGAGGTTGACAAAATCTAGGTGAATGACAATCTTTTAGCTCTCTGATAAATGAAACTTTTTTGTCTCACTTATGAAACCAGCTAGAGACATGAAACATTAGTCAACTCTAATTTATGGGCAAGATGTGCAATCCCTCCTCAAAACACCTGTTTGTTGACTCCCTGCTATTAAACTGGAAGTAAACCCTTTTCTATCTACCAGTTTATCTCAGCTGTAAGGGGCCAAATTATAACCAAGGGTATCAGATAAGTGAAATATTCTCCTAAACAATTTGGTCTTATTACCCTTTTGAATGAGAAACTGGCTTTTATCTCTCTACTTGATTATTGATAAATTGTTATTTGATAAATTGGTAGTTACATGTACTTATCTCAAGTCGCTACAGCAAAGACTGTTCATTAAGAAATAACATGCCAGGTTATAAAATGCCCAAACAGAGTCTTGAAAAGTTGTGAGCAGATGAAAAGTTTAGTTATTGACAGTGTCTTAAAATTAATTAAATTTTCCTAGATGGAAACTTTATATTAATGATAAATTTCAGAACCTTGTGTGACCAAAGAAAAGCAGGTGCTTTCTGTGAAGTTTGTGCTGTGGCTCTTGCCTTTGCCAGGCCACCATTTCCAAAGTCAGAAGCAGACTGTATGTCAGGAAAAGGCATGAAGAGTGCCATGATTTCCTTGCATATCAACACATGCATTTCCCCTGAGATACTGAATACAGTAGTTGTAATACCTCTCTAATGATAAAACAGCTCTGATGGATAAAGTCTGTCTGTATGAGAAACAGAAACATGAATATGAATTAATGAAAGACACATTAAACCTATAAAACAAAGTTTATCTGGTGGTGCAAGTGCTCACTTTCCATGACAGATACTGGGATCATCATGGAATGGAGACTTGGCCACTGCTGACATCAGTCACAGAGTCAGCAGTGCTTGCTCACAGGGTACATCACTTCTACGCTCAAATGCTCATTCTTAGTGAAGTAGGTGACAATATTTACTATACTTTCTGTGATTTCTAATCTTAGGTAGCTGAATATCTGTGCAGCTCATCAATAGAGATTCATCAAAGTGGGATTCAGTGGGATGTTGTCAGTATCAGCATTTTCAAGGAGGATTTTCGATCTGGTCACAATTCCATCCAATTTACACTACATTAAAATAATGGCAAAAAACAAAGACAAATCTCTGTATTGTTAAACAATGCCCTTATAAATCCTTCAATTAATACACACACTGATACATTCCAATGTAGATTGCTTACAACCTAAAAAAGCAATTTTGGTTGGAAATTACACTAATAAAAGAAAAATGCAACAACACTACTTTTTATTTTATCTGTCCTTAATTTTATACAGCAAAAACATTTGCCAGACTTCCCAGTGACAATGAGAAATTATTTTGTAAGAGTGGAAGAATCAATCTGCCCTTTAAAAATCTGTCCTTAAAAATCGTTACAGCTTTTATGCAAGAAAAAAATTAAGATCTGATGTTTTCTTACTCATTAATGGCATTATGGAGTTATGATCTATACTACATGAAAAGGATCTTTCATGGTTTCTATTGAATTAGAATTTGTGTGATACTACAGTTCTTCAGAACTATACAGAACAGTATTTAAAATCCTTTGAACATTTAATAAAGCTTTACATTCTAGAAAGTATTAACTAATTTATTAAGCAAAAAATGTATTTTAAAGTGAAAGGGAAAATCTGGCTTGGATAAAATATTACATACTGAAGGTACACTATCTAAATAATGGTATTAAGGAAAGTTCTTTTTTAGTTTTATTGCATCTGTCTGATGGAGATTATATGTCAGACCACAGAACAACATAATTGTAACTCAAAATGCATTTCTTTCCTGTGGGAATATATTACAGGCATGTCATTCAGTTAAACAAGAAAAAAAGAAATATTTCTGCTGGGCTTTGACCTCACCTCATGGAACTCCCCACAGAAACTGGAGAAAAAGGTGTGAATGTCATCTTCTCTTTCATGCAAGTCATATATCCCAGGACCTCTCCATCTGCAGAGTCACTTTAAAGATTTCCAGAGTTATACTTGCATTCACCACAGCTGGGTTTTATTCTTATATTCCTGGAAATAGAGAAATGAATGATAAGTGGCTTCAACATTCTCATCAGCCACAGGAAGCTCGGCAGCAAATAAAATTGTCAAATAGCTCAGGTCCACAGATATAGCTGGAAATCTGGGTTCCAAATGTCCCTTCCATTCTCTTGACAGCTGTTTCCACAGCCTGCTCATTTCTCTGAAGTGAATTAATAGCTGCCTTTCCTAGAGCAGCATCAGTGATGACAAATTTGGCCAGCCAAATTTCTCACAAATTGACCAAACCCTCTGACCACCTATGGTTACAGTCCAGGCCAGGGAAGCTACACTATGTGCAATAGAGAAGCAGAAATCAGAGTGCCTTTCTGGACCATTGCTTCACACATTGCAGAATTGCCTTGTACTGCTATATCTTGAAAACCAGACAGCAGCATTTTATATCAATTTCTGAAATCATTTTACTTCAGTTGGCAATAATTAGTTTTAAAATTGAGTAGGTGATGGATGTTAAAAGAGGTACTAAATCAAAGAATAAATAGCTCAATAAATATTTACCATTAATAGCAGTCTTTTTACCACAATTCCAAAGTTCCTTTAATCACCCTCTTATTTATAAGTCAAGAAGAAAAAAAAATGCACCTTATCAGCTCTCACTGCACTGAGAGAGTCTCTGAAGACAATGTAAAGGGTGCTCATTTA